CCCAATATCTTATAACCGGTTAACTGTTAAGTTATTAAGATAACCGGATTTTATAATTTATTAACAGATTAAAAATTAAGTTATCTGATTATCTTAGGATAATATTAAAAAAACAAAATATTTTGATTGGTTGTTTTTATATAATAAAATAGAAATTTTTTAAAAAAATTTTTTAACCGAAAAAAATGTCTAATACAAATTCTTTATCAAATTTGAAATTATTGTCTCAAACAGAAGAATATTTTTCAGATAAATCTGATAATATTGAAGATAATATGTCCAATTTATTATTAGATAATTTTAATAATAAACCCAAAATTCCAAATTTAAAAAAAATAAACTTAATTCCTATTGTAAAACATTCCAGTCGAAGTTGGATTTGGTCTTATTATCAACGTTATGAAGCTATATCACCTTATAAAACAATTGTAAGTTGTTTGGTTAAAATTAATAACAACAATAAATTATGTGGACATATTATGGGATCAGTAGACAGTTCAACGGGCAACTTTATTGGACATTTAGCTACACGACATGGTATTACGGAGAGTTCACACAATGAAAAAACAAAAAAACAATCCCATTTACAACTTCAAATCGATGATATATTACATAGCAATCCAGAACGCAAACGACATCTTGATCAAAAGTTTGTTGAATTTTTAATTAAAGATCAACAACCTATAAATATTCGAAATAATCAAGGGCTTAAGGATTTTATTGCTGAGTTTGATTCTTTATATCAATTTCCAAGTGAAAAATATTGTCGTCAATTATTTTCTGAAGCTTATGAAAATACTAAACAAACTTTATTAATTTTATTTAAAGAAAATATTATTTCATGTTCATTAACTTGTGATTTATGGACGGGATGTAGTAGAATGGGATATTTAGGTATAACTTGTTCATTTATTGATAATAATTTTCAATTACAAGAAATTACTCTTTCTATTAAATATCTTCCTTATCCACATACCGGCGAAATTATTGCTGATTTATTAAATTCGATTATTAATGAATGGCATCTTACCGATAAAGTTTTTTCAATTACTACAGATAATGGTAGTAATATGATTAAAGCACTTGAATTATTACCTAATATAGTTCGTATACCCTGTACGGCACATACTTTTCAATTGGTTATTGGAAAAGGTCTTTTACAAATAGAAAATTTGGTTGCACGGGCAAAAAGACTTATATTATATTTTACTACTCCTAAACATACTCAACAACTTTTGGAAATTCAAGAAAATTTTAATTGTACCGAAGATATAGTAAGTAATAATTTATTAAATTATAAATTAATAGTAAAATATTAAATTTTTTTTTTTAAATTATTAGGATCTTTTACAAAACGATCATTATTTGCGTATAATTGTAGATACACCAACAAGATGGAATTCATCATATCTTGCTTGGCAACGGTTAATCAAAATTCGAAAAATTATCGATTTTATGATTACTAAGCTTTCATTAGATGAAAATTATCAAATACGAAAAGAAAGTATAAGATTAAAACAAATTAATCTTAACGATGTGGAATGGGAAGCTATAACAAATCTTATCACAATTCTCGAACCATTTGCAGAAGCAACTGAGCTACTAAGAGGCAGTAAATATGCAACAATAAGTTTTATGTATAATGCAATTACGGTAATTACTAATAGTCTCATAGTTTTTAATAATTTTGAATTACGACAAATAACTTATGGAACAGAAGAAACGGTTTTTGATCAGATTTTAAATGAAGATCGAACAAACAATGAACAAAATACGGATCAAACAGAATTTCAACAACTCAATATTACTCAAGATTGTACAAATCTAGAAGAAAAGGTGAAAATAGCTTTATATAATGCTATGAAACATTATTGGCAAATACTAGAGAAAGAAGGAATGTTGGCTACACTATTGGATTCCCGATGCAAAACATTAAGTTTTGCTTCAGAATTTTGAAAATCTAGAACTTACGACTCATTACGTGAAGCCTATGAACAACAATATGATCAAACAAAAATATTACCTATTAAACAACAATCGCGATTTACAAACAAGTTAATAGCTTCTATGTTTCAATCAAACAACATCCAAATAAATGAAATCTCAGATTATATTGGAATACCGGAAATTCCTTTTGATCAATGTCCATTTGTATGGTGGAAAAGTAATCAAAGTCGTTTTCCGGTTTTGGCTTGTTTGGTACGAAAATATCTAGCTATTTCAGCAACCTCAACACCTAGCGAAAGACTATTTAGTGAAGCAGGAAATATCATGTCTATTAAAAGAACAAATCTTTTACCTATTACATTTGAGCATCTGGTTTTTTTAAAAAGAAATTGTCATGCAGTTAATGATCTTTTTCCAAATACAAAAAATAAAAAAAAAAAAGCAAATAGCGAAACTTCTCAATAACTTATAATTATGTAAATAGGATATAGCGATTTTTTTCTTATATACAATAATCAATTTATAATAGTTCTTATTTTTTTTCATATAATTAGTTTATTTTATAAACGTACAATTAAAAATTTAATTAAATAATGTATGTTTAATAATTATGCTATTAATTATCATAAATAAAAAAATTACTTAAACATTTAATTAAATTAGAATTAATATTTTACATTTAAACTAAAGAATAGACTAATATGAAGGATCATTTGCGCATTTAAATAAATAATTTAGGATAATGCGCATTGAATAATCAAATATTAAAAAATAAAAAAAAAAAGCTAATATAATAATTCCTAATCAGAAAGCGATTTAAAAAAAAATTTAGGTATAAATTAAATATTAAAAATAGCGTATATTAAATAGTTATATGACTAACTTGAACATACCTATTATATTTCCATGCTCTTCATTATTACGGATCACACCTGAAGTACCTTCAGTATTGTTATAAAAAGAACTGTCTAGTTAATCATCTAGCAGGTCTAGAAGGTACACCTGAGACGCAATTATCGTGAAATACGCACCTCATCGATTACCGCCACACCATTAATGATCCCCTCATGATTATTGGAACGTTGCTCGCTATGCGATACAAATAACTTTTGTGACCATCAAAGTGATCGAGTAGCTTCCGATTAGCTTATCATTCATCTGGAATCCAGGGTCGCACTACTTAGTGTCGTGGGCAAAAAGGGGATCACGGTAATGCGATACGTGTCACGTTACGTAATTAGTGTGTTATGAGATAGATGGTGGAAAAAGTTAATGGTAAGGAAATTAAGGTGTGGGAAAGTTTACTGGTGGAAATTTCTAGAGTAGTGTAGAATAACGATCTGATGTTAACAGGCGCATTCAATAGCATGTAGAAAGGAGTTTAGTTTAGAGACTAGCGTTTAAAGTGAAAAACAATAAAGTAACGTTTAACGAATAAACTCCTACCTTGTGTTTAGTGTGCCAAAGTAAGCTTGTAACTTGGGATACACGACTACGAGAGAGAGCCGAGGTTTGCCTAAGGGAATTGGCATTAGAAGGGTTCTAGGCTAGTCGGTAGAGAAGTTAAAGTGAGAGAACGGCCAAATCGGAAACGCCTCAAGAGTTAGAAACTTATCTTATTGTGAACTGAAGCAACGACCGTAGAGTGGGCTGGATGGATAGCCCGTGAAAGTAGATAGTTCGTCCAGCTGGTACATTGCAAATTTGATTAAAGTAGGATCATTGAACAGCAAATACAACTTAAATTTAAACTATATAACAGTACATACCTTGTATAAGTTACATGTATCATTCTTTCTTAAGATATCATAGCTATTAAAAAGTTGGGTCAAATTCATTTTTTATATTTTAATAGTGGAGTAACTCTTACAGGTAATGATATGTTTGATGATTTTCTTCTATCTAGTGTACATTTCCCTAGCATAGTTTAGATTAGCCGGTATCATACCAATATCATGATCGCAGTACTCATTATCATTGTTGTATTGATTACTGTGATCGATTTCACCACGAAATTTACTTTTTGGCCATCAAGCAGGTATATAATTCACTGATGTCTCAGATCACTCCCATTTACTGAAATGTCTTTTACTTCGAGTTTCTGATATATCGATTAACGTCTTCCTAGGGGCTCATTCAAAATGGATCAATCGGCGGAATTTGCTTTGTTATGATAAAGATTGTGAAGAATTCGTATAACTGTGGTAACAATAATTGTAGTGCATTTGAGTTTTCATATCGATCCACTAATTCATGTGAGAACTTACCCTCTATATAGTATTGGTTGTAGATAATCGTTTGTACTCACCTACTCCTGATAAAACCAATGCTTTCTCATCCTTCTCATCAAGCTCGGATAGGTATACCAATGGTTCGAACAATACTTTCCTATTTTACAGAAAAACTCTTTAATCCTACGGAACACAAAATCTGAAAATAAGATAAATTTTCTAACGCCATCCAAATTTTTCTGTTCCTGAAATGTTCCAAATATTTCTTATTAATTTGGCATCTCAGTTGTAATGTAATCTGATCAGGATGTCGGTATCGCATTCATTATATTGCAATAATTGTCATAGATTACATTACATAGTATGGGTCTCATTATATTTACATTGATTTTTAATATGAAAGGAGATGTTAAAAAAGGAGAACAAGGATTCTGTGTTATAGAAGTCCTTAAAGAAAACCACCGAGATATGCAGTAGAAAAATAAAATGATATTTTGTTAATACGTACAAATAAATAATTTTGATTGGTTATGTTGATCATTTGAATATAACTGTTAACCTTTTATACTTATAAGTTATATAA